ATAGAAATTAAGATGACTCATACTGTTTTGGCATGCTCTAAATATTCAGTGTTCTCATGAGAATATGTGGTTTCCAGACACATTATAGGACACAACTACTAGTTATTTGGGGAACTTCTTTTTGTGTTTTTCAGAAGTCTGAATTAACAAAGCTTCTGAATTAATCCCGAAGTAGTAGTAGTCAGCTCAGTTTCCATGAAGAGGGGAAGGAAACCAAAGGTGATTGAAGAAAACAATTGTCATTGATAATTATTATCAGCATCGAACTCTTTTTTATTTCAGCTGAATGTCGCTTGGGTTTATTCCAAGCATATCCCTCTGTGCAGAGATCTATGATGTTTCAAGAGCTACAGCCTCATTTTGAGCTTTGCCCTTAATACTGTGTGGGCCTCATCCTTAGGCATCCTTTTCCCTTATGGTAGAAAAATGGTAGCCCAAACTCCTGAAATAGCACTTTGTCTTTTATTTTGGGAGGACAGCTCTTCTGTCAGCCGCCATGTAAAAAGTCCCTGTGGTTTGACAAATTTAAGTTCATTTCAAGATTGAGATCATGCAGATGGATTTAGGCCACTTAAGGGAAGTGGGAATCATTTGTCAAATGGTGTGGCTGAGCTAATGCAGGATCCTGGTAGTTCTTCTGGGGGAACTGATGCTGGGAAGCAACCAAAAATTATCATTCTCTAGCCTTAACTTCTCTACCTTTCTGGAATATAAACTGCATGACTGTCAAATCCATGTTGGTTTACTTCTTGGCATCTGACAAAGAGTCATAGGTGGGGTATTTTTTCTTTAGTTAGTTGAGTGAATGAATGAATGAATGAAGAATGCATGAATGACTGGAAGACATCTCTTTGAGAGAAAACATTTTCAGAGCAAAATGGTAAGGGAAATCTATATTCAAAACGGTGCATAAATACACATGAGAAATGTCAGTGTAGGGGTGCTTGGGTGGCTCAGGCGTTTGAGCGTCCGACTCTTGATTTCAGCTCAGGTCATGATCCCAGGGTTATGGGATCAAGCCCTGTGTCCAGCTTCATGCTGAGCATGGAGCCTGCTTAAGATTTTCTCTCTCTCTCAGGATGTCTGGGTGGCTAAGTCAGTTAACTGTTCAACTCTTGATTTCGGCTCATGTCATGATCTCACATCGAGTCCCACATCAGGCTCTGTGCTCACAGTGTGGATTCTGCTTGGGATTCCCTCTCTCCCTGTCTCTCTGCTCATCCTCTGTTCATTCGCTCTCCCTCTCTCTCAAAATAAATAAATGAACTTAAAAAAAAAAAGATTCTCTCTCCTCCTCTGCCTCTCTCCCCAGCTTGAGTGCTCTCTCTCTGTCAAAATAAAATAAAATAAAATAAAATAAAATAAAGAAGTGTCAGTGTAATCATGTTTCTTTTTAGAAGAAGGAGGAGGTCATATTGCAGAAAACGTTCTCTTGTAGAGAAAATATTATTACATAAAAAAAACTTTGACAATCGAATCCTAAATAAATTGGCATGACACACATAAATATATATTTCATATGATTACATATTTGCAATAAAGCATGTGACCATGGATATATATTTTTTTTGCCTGAATATTTGTAACATAAAAGTCTTAAAATTAGATTTTGAAATACTGGACCTTGTGAATAAATTACTAGTACGGACTTATTTATTTGGGTGCAATGTTAAAATTGTATTTAAAGCCAAGAATCCAACTTATAATAAAAATACATCATTCTTTGAACACCTACAAGGTGTCAGTTGCTTCAGATGTCCCAGCTATTTGATGCTCAAGTAACCTTCTAAGTAAACCTTCTTATCACTAATTTACTGATAAGGAAACTGAGACAGAAGTTGAGCAACTAGGAAAAAGAGATGGAAAGTCACATAACTATCAATTCATTTTTGTGGTGGGAATAATTAAGACCTAGTCTTTTAGCATGTTTGATGATCATATAATGACAATTGTATTACAGTATATAAATGTTTCTTTTTTTAAAAAAGTTTATATTAAAAATTTTTTTTTTAAGTTTATTTTTGAGAGAGAAAGAGAGAGATGGAGAGTGAGCAGGGAAGAGGCAGAGAGAGAGACACACACAGAATCCAATGTAGAGTCCAGGCTCTGAGCTGTCAGCACAGAGCCCCTTGCAGGACTCGAACCCACAAACTGCAGGATCACGACCTGAACGGAAGTCAGACGCTTAACCAACTGAGCCACCCAGGAGTCCCCACCGTATATAAGTGTTTCAAATCAACATGCCGTCCACCTTAAATTTACACAATGTTGTATGTCAAATATACTACAATATAGAGAAATAAGTAAGAAATAAGTAATAGAAAGTAAGGGGGCAAGATTTTAAGCCCCTCAAATTAGATTGAAACCCCAAAACATGTGGCCTAATAAAATGCTCTTCCATTATGCTACTTGTTTTATACTGGGTTCTCAGATACAGTCCCTTGAGAGAAGGATATGTGTGCAAATGACTAATGAAGGAAGTGCCAGGAGAAGTGGGAGAGTAAGGGTAAGGAACGGAAGAGACAAGCAAGGGTGTGATTGCATTGTATTTTCAGCTTTAGCCTAATCCCATTATCTTAGTCCACTCAGGGTGCTCTAACAGAGCACCATAGACTGGGCAGCTAAGAAACAGCAGAAAATTGTTTCTCACAGCTCTGGAATCCAAGATCAGGATGCCAGAGGATTGTGTATCTGGTGAGATCAATTTGTTCATCAACGGCCATCTTCTCACTGGGTCCCTACATGGTGAAAGGGGCAAAGGAATTCTATGAGGTCTCTTTTATAAAGGCACTGATCCCATGTATGAGAGATCTACCATCATGACTTAATTGTCCCCCAGAGGCCCACCTTCCAATGCCATCACCTTGGGAGTTAGAATAGCCATATATGAATATGAGGGAGACGTAACTATTCAGTCCATAGCACCCAGGGAAAACACACATTTTGTTTAGAGATGTCCCTTTCCCTTTCTTCAGAGTAATGTGTATTGTTGGGCCTTTCTTGCTCCTTGGGAAGTGAGTCCAAGACCAGGCCTTTGAGGAAAGTCACAAGTGCAAGTGGTTGGAAGCCAGGCCCCCAGAACCTGGGTGACAGGTATACAGAAAAGGTTAAAGAAACCTGGAGGGACCTTGGTAGAGCACTGACACTGTCTCACTTACTCCCCTGCCATTCAAGATAGGAGGACAGTAAAACCTTGGATTGCAAGTACCTTGTTCTGCAAGACGAGCAAACATTTCTAATAAATTTTAACTAGGTAAATGAGCACTGTCTTGCAACATACATAGTACATGACACCAAATGTCACATCATCACAACTTAGCCAATGGTTCTTCTCTGTCTCTCTGTCTCTCAGTGTCTGTCTGTCTGTCACTCTCTGTCTCTCGCTGTGGGGTTGTGGGTGATTGTCTCCCATGCTTGGATGCTCAGTCTCAGGCCTCAGTGTTTGACAGAAATCAGTGATTTTTAGATTGCTGGAAGGTGCCCACAACTGGCACTAGTGAATTTTTGGTCACTTCAAAGCACCAGTGGGACAGTCCTTTGCTTTTCTATACACGAGACAGCTTAGGAACGCTTTGCTTCATTCTAGGTCAGGCTGTCTGCAGATATAGACCCTTTGCTGCCTTATTGCCAGTTACATTAAATACAGTATATGGCAAGAATTTATTAATACTGTACTGTAGTGAACATCCATGGTAATGTATACAATGGCCCCCATGCAGAAAAAGATTCCATTGAGCCTATTGGTCGCAGTGATTCCATTAGTGATAGTGAAAGTCGTCCTACACAGTAATCCTCTGCTCTCATTTCCCTCACGCCAGCCATGAAGGTTTTCAAAAGTAAATGCAGGTTAATTTGTTTATTTTCCTTTCTATTTTGTATTTTCCTTATTATTTTTAATTATATTATGGTATTATAATCATTTTATATGGGTATTTTGGGTCTGTGGAAAGAATCCTCTAAGTTGCCATTATTTCTTATGGGGAAATTTGCTTTGATATACAAGTGCTTTGGATTACAAGCGTGTTTCTGGAATGAATTATGCTCATAAACCAAGGTTTTACTGTATATCAGCATGGTGGTTTAGGGGCACTAATTCCTGATTCAGGTCACCAGTGGCCAAATCTGGGCTCTGACAGTTGGGCACATTTCTTAACTTACATGTGCGTTATTGTCTGCATTTATAAAATATGTGATAATTCTATTACCTAAACTCATGAGGTTGTTTTGAGAATTCGACGTTGTATTTTATATATATGTAAAAAATATATATGCAAGTGCCCTTGAGAGAGTTAAAGAAGTTTTATTATCTATAGCTAAATGTATCTGCATCTTACTTTTGCTTTTACATTTGCAGGGTAAAATAAAATTGGGTGGGAAGGATGGAATGTCCTTCTTGACTTGTCCAAGTATACTAGCTTGGTGTGAGAAAGACAGGAGATTATTAGAGCTCTTAAAAGCTCTAATATATATATGTGTAATATCTATTTTATATTAAATATATTATATTAATATAAATATATTAAATATAATATATATAATGATGGAAAGAAAGCCAGTGTGCTGTGATTTGCTCACAGTGATGTCACATAGCTGTTTAATGGCACAGCTAAGAAGGGACCTAAGTGTCCTGACCATCAGATCTCTCACAACATTTGCAGGCCCTATTGGTATTAATGTAACATTTCTTAGAGGAGCTAGGTGACCTCCAGTTTACTGAATATCTCCGTTAACTGAACATTAATACTTGTTAATGTAAGGCTAAAAGCAACTTCAGAGTTTATTAATAATCTATTAAAATTCAAAGAATAATATGTGTACTAAGAATGCTGTTATAAACTTTCTTAAAGATAATTTTAAAATATTTTATATTTATGTATTTTTATGTTAAGTGTTTGGCAAAAGAACCTAATTAATTCACATTCAGAAACTGATGACTGTAAACCATAATGTTTTTAACTCTCAAGGGTACTTGCATATTCATCAATAAAACAGCTTTAATAGTGCTTACTTTGGCCGCACACATACTAAAACTGGAATGGTACAGAGAAGATTAGCATGGGCTCTGTGCAAGGATGACACGCAAACTTGTGACACCTTTCATGTTTTTAAACAATCTACTTTGGGCATAGAGGATTAGCAGGAATGTAATTCGTGAATCTGTGGCCCCGTTCTGGTATTTTCTTGTGACATTTGAAGAAACACAGAAATGTCCTGGCTGATCAAAACTCACATAGTTCTATACCAGATGCCTCTTCTTGAATAATACATTTTACATCCACTGTAAAGAATCAACAGACTTCCAGTGTTAATGCAATACCACCAAATTTTGATATTGTAATTTTTTTTTTTTTAGAATTAATAGTTGCTGTGACTAGAAGAAAACAAAAAAGAATACACTTTGGTGTTTTTAAGAAACATCCTCATAGGCTAAAACTTAAGAATGCTGAATGGGGGAAGAGGACGTCTCCTTGTAGAAAGTTGCTTTCCAGCCTGTTTTGTGTTTAGTGACTGCTGGGCTTTAGTTGATCTAACACTTCTCCCCATCGCCTTCCACCCCAGAACTGCGATCCCAGCATCTGAAGCTGTTTGTGGTGCTGAACTTGGATCGCCTACCACAACTTCAGAGTCAGCATGATTTGGGGATTTTTTTTTTTTTCCCCTTACTGATCCTCTTAAGAGTTCATGCCTTAACAATAGGTCTGGACAACACAGCTGTAATCTTGCAACTGGATCCAATCTGAATAAATGGTTCTAGCTGAAATTTCTCCCTTTGAATAAATTGGAAGTTGAGACTGTTTTGATTTTATCACATCACAAGGCCTTGAGATGTTACAGTTGACTTCAAAATATAAGTTGTAGTAATAAAACTGTGGAGTAGAAACATATAAAAATACACAAGGGGAGCCTGCATGGCTCAATTGGTTGAGTGTCCAACTTTGGCTCAGGTCATGATCTCACGGTTTGTGAGTTCAAGGCCCGTGTCAGGCTCTACTCAGAGCCTGGCGCCTGCTCTGGGTCATGTCTCCCTCTCTCTCTGCCCCTCCCCTGCTGTCTCTCTTTCTGTCTCTCTCAAAAATAAATAAACATTTAAAACGATACACTGAAGATACCATAAAGTCTGCTCTTGCCAAAAATGTAATCTTTAAGTGGAACTAAACTTTGAATAAGTTCAAAGGAAAATGTGAAGGTTCTGAATTTGTAGTTTCACAGGCATTATATTTTAAACAAATACAGCAAATGAAGAGCACTGACACTCTGTTACTACACATGTGATTGTATCTAATACTGTTGGAAAATATCTTTATGGCACATATGAGTGAAAATCAAAGTCAACCATTTGGTTTAGAATTCATGTAGACTGATACTGCCTAATTCTGTTCTCTAAGGAGGGGTCCAGGAGGTAAAGACATGACATATTTTCAACTCATGTCAAAGTACATCCTCTGGTAGGAAAAATCACTTATTCATAGTCATTACTGGGCCTGATTAAATTGGAAACTCATTTTCCACAGGGACAAGAATACTAGGACCTATACCCTTAATTTATTTAACATGACATCATTTCTATTTTTGCAGACTGGAACAAAGGCATAAATGTGGCATTTAACTACTATTTTCAGCACAGGAAACATAGATTAATTTTGATACATACTTGTTACTGATGAAGAAACAGATGGCTCTGAACTGTTGTGGGTTGTGGTCATTGTCGATGGCATCTGGGGTATGTTTTGTGACACCGAGGTGGTGAAAGTTATATTTGTTGAGACCCCTCGTGTTGTCATTCTAGATATTGCTATAGGTACCAAGATGGTGACTGTCCCAGTCTTTGAGATGGAAGAAAATGGAATTGTTGACTGTTTCACAGTGCTAGTAGAATGCTCGTTTGTACAGCTGGAAATCACAAAGCCATAAAGCTGCAAGAATATTAAGAAACAGGGGCACATGGGCTTTGGCTCGCATTATGATCTCACGGTTCCTCAGTTTGAGCCCCGTATCAGCAAGTCAGGTTTTGCTTTGAACTCTGACCTTTTTCAAAGTGGATTACCAGTGAGACAATGATTCCATTTTCCCGCTCAATTTGGTTGTCTCCTCTCATAAGTTGGATATACTGTCTTGGGAAAAGAGCTCTCCCCATTAGAGAGGAGGGTAAGGAAAGAGAGATGGGTAGAGACTATCTACTATCCTATGCTACCACAACCCCATGAGCATATATTAGCATGATTTTATAATTGTCTGTCTACACTGCTAGCTCTGGATGAAATGTTTTCATAGGCTGCATTGCATTATGAACCAGCTGCCCTTTGGATAACCTCTACCAGAGATGGTTTACTGGCTCTTACACGGACAGCAGCCTACACCTGGGGTGTGGATGGAAAGCAGGGTGCCACGAACAAGAATGGGCAGGAAGAAAAGTGATGGAGATTTACCAAATTTCCAGCTCATTACGGATTTCGCCCATCACCTCTCTCCTTTTGTTTTAATTTCTAATTTATTGAATTGCAAGTTGTTTTTGGAGAGCTGTGCCTTTACCTCATGTTTCAACAAGCAACATCTTAAATGGGTAGACTTGGAAGAATCAGTATAGGAAAATTGCTCATAAGAGCTCTAATAACCTCCTGTTTTTCTCACACCTGTTTTTCTCTCCTACTTGGAATGCCTTTCTCACCCACTTATTTTTACCCCCCAAATGTAAAACCTAAAGATACACATACATTTAGCTCTAGATAATAAAACTTCTTTAACTCTGTCAAGGGCACTTGCATATTCATTAAGTAAAACAGCTTTATGACTAAGTAACTACATGGAATTATTTAACAACAATCATGTAAGGGGAAGCAATGTATATTTGCAATAACTTTTTGTCACAAACAAATGCAGGGATAATCATGACCTAGGTATAAATGTACAGATCTGTGAACTGTTAGTTTATGATGAAAAGCATTGAGAACTGGGGATGTATTAGCTTCCTAGGGAGGCTATGGTAAGTGGCTACAAGCCATGTAGCTTGAAACAGCAGAAATTTATTCTCTCACAGCTCTGGAGGCCAGAAGTCCAAAATCAAGGCTTCGGCAGGGCCATCCTCCATCCAAAGTCTCTAGGAGACAACGCTTCCTTGGCTTTTCCAGCTTCTGATGGTCTCTGGTTTTCCCTGACTTGTGGCAGCTTAAGTCTAATCTCTGTGTCCATCTTCACATGCCATCTTCTCTGTGTGTGTGTCTGAATCTGAATCTCCTTCTCCTTTCTATAAAGACACTAGTCATTGGACAGATAGAGTAACTTCATCCTAACTAATTACATTTGCAAAGACCCTCCTTGCAAGTAAGATCACATACCCAGATTTCAGGTGGGCATGAATTTTGGAGGGACACTATTCAACCCAGTACAAGGGAGTTAAGTAAAACAGCTATTTCTTGGAGTGCCTGTATGACTCGGTCAATTAAGCATCCGATTCTTGATTTTGGATCAAGACATGATCTCACGGTTCATGAGTTTGAGCTCTGTGTTGGGCTCTGCACTGTCAGTGTAGAGCTTACTTGGGATTCTCTCTCTTTTTCTTTCTCTTTGCTCCTCCCCCGCTCTCTCTCTCTCAAAACAAATAAACATTTAAATATATATATATATGTGTATATATATTTCTTTATTTTAAATTTATTTTGAATGAGAGAGAGAGAGCATGCGTGTGTGCAAGCAGGGGAGGGACAGGAACAGAGAGAATCCCAAGCAGGCTCTGAGCTGTCAGCGCAGAGCCCGACCCAGAGCTCAAACTCACGAACCGTGAGATCATGACCTGAGCCAAAATCAAGCGTCAAATACTTAACCAGCTTAGCCACCCAGGCGCCCCAATATATATATTTTTATTGTTGTTGAGGTAATTGGTATTTGAAGTTTGTAAAAGCATGTGGATTCTTCTGTTTGCCAATGCTCAGTGGTTTTTTGGGAGAAGGCCTTTTGGAACTGAATCAGTTTCACAGTAGGTGCAGATACAAGACCATCAGGCAGGCACAGTTTTGTCAAGGACACCAAGCGTTTAATGACAGAAAGACAATATACATTTTCCACCAAGGTTTTCGTAACCTTATATTCTGATACAGTGCTTTGGTTCTAGGTTCTAAGGAATTCTGAGACACTTAGAGACCGTCTAATCCTATTCGAATCCCCATCTAATCCTGTTCTATAGAACAAGGTCATACCAAGTAAAATTCCTTGGATCATTTCATTATATTATATAATTTAAAAAATTTTCCAATCTTATTATGTTCTTTGTATCAAATTCCACCCCACTCTGCCCTCATGCAGAGGCAGAGTGAATTGAAATTCTCTCCTTTCCTACCAAAATAATCGAGTCATTTACCAAGTGTTGATTAGGAGGTATGCATAGATTCTAAAAGGTTTGCAAGGGGAGCAGACTGCTTTCATTTTCTGAAACTTGTACCATTCACTGAACAGGTTATGCGCTTCCATAGCTAAGGAACAGACACGGCAAAATAAGGATTGATGCATAGAAGCACAAATGTGAATCATGATTTTGAGCTTTTATAAAATAGTTGTGAAAGTATGTTTAGTATTCCCAAGTGGAGGATCAGAAGGGGGAGATTACAAGACTGATCCCCAGCTGTGAGTGTCTGAGTCGATTGTGAGGGGCTGGTACACAAGCAGTTCAAGTGGCCTCCCGGGAGGAAGTGGTATGTAGAGAGGCTGGGGAGGCGAGAGACAACCAACAGAGCAGGAAAGAGGGACTGGAAGAGAGTTTCAGAGGGAGCACAGTCCTGGGTGGTTCTGTGTGCAGGCTGGGAGAGTGGGATTGGGTGCTACAGTGGCGGGCAGGGTAGGTCACTGGAGTTGAGAGAATCAAGAAATTAGGAGGCACTTAATTTGCTAACTCCGTGTTGTTGATGGAAAGACTTCATGGAAAGGCTTCATTTCCATTCAATAAATACGTATTAAGCAGTCTCATGTTGAAGTGATTATGCTAGACATATTGACCTGGAGAAAGAGGGTAAGAGAAGATGATGGGGTCATGAGAACAGTATAATATTTGGAGCTTTTCAATACCCAGTTTTATAGTTAATGTTAATTTCCTCCTTGGTCTTGACTGTGCTTAGCAGC